CATTCTATTTGTTTCTAGCCCTAACACTAACGACGGAGTTAAGAATATGGGGCCTGAGAACCAACTGCTCCTTGAATGCCTAATTCCCTTAAATAGTACAACTGGAAATGAAAGCAGAAACCCAACCCACACGTGGGAGTTAAGTTGTACACCTGGTAGGAACAAGTGCTAACCTTTACTCAACTGCAGCGCTCAGAGGAACCGGAGGAGATATTATCCTGAACATCTCATGGGCTCAGATTCACATGCTACAAAGCCTTTTAATTTTGAGGAGGTAAGGGTCTTCCAAGGGGCCTGTCCAGTGATTACAGGCCAGTCTCCACCTATGATAAACGTACTGTAGAGAAGGACAAGAGGGAAACAGAAGAGACTGAAGGACAAGGGAGGAGGGAAAGGATCTTGAATGGATTTGCAACTCAAACAGAGTTCTTCGAAGGAAAGCTATTTAAATCTGAGCTGTTCCTAATATTACTTATCCTGAACATCTCATGGGCTCAGGTTCACATGCTACAAAGTCTTTTAATTTTCCTATCTGTCCCTGGCACTAGCGACGATAAATCAGATATACAGAGAAACCACCGAAAAAAAACCACACATGACTAACGAACCAGCCTGTTAATGGGGTACAAAGATCATTTGCCAAGATGACTTATTCAGATGCTATCATGTATCATAACCTGCAATACCCTGGCGGCTGAACACAGCAGGCACAGAGGGCAAGAGCTGGGCGCTCCCTGCCAAGTCACGGGCACCCTCCAATGCAGGTAGGAGAGATTTTACTCATGAGTGCCGCCTCCACTCCCTCAAGTCAGACTTGCCCTTGGAAAATTATCGCAACTTCTAAAAGGCCTCTTGAGTCACTGAGCTGCTAAGCCCCTAATTCTGACTATAGCTCTTACTTTGAGGCTCCTTCGAATTCCAGGTACCCTGAGACCCAGCCTCGGCCACTAGCAACCTTACCTGTTAGTTTATAGATCTTTAATGTAGCCATTCATTAAAGTATCTGAGTTCCAACTAAATGTCAAACAGTAAAGAGGTGGAAGTGGAGGAGAGAGAAGTGTCCCCTAAATGCCAGCCTCTTGGTTTTACCATGAAGGCTGAGGCCCGGTAATAAACAGGAATTTCCAATCACAAATTCCAGCTGACGGAACAGCTGGGACTTGAACCCAGCTTGGATTCTTAACAGAACGGCTACATATAGTAGTTTATAAGAGCAATGAGCCAACAGCACAAGGAAGGTGGGTAAACTGAATCCACATTCTCCTCACCCAGCCCTGCACTCTGGAATGGTGCTAGTGCTGCATCTATCCAGAGGAAGGGGCCCTTTGTGGTTTGTTTGAAAGCACCATATGGCCAAGGGGAAGTCCCAACTCCAGTACCATGTTCTCAGTGGCCCAGCCAGCCTAATACCCTTTTACAAAAAAACCCCCTTCACTGGAAGGAACTGAAGTTCCCCAAATCAACAACCAAGCACTGGCCAGGCGCAGTGGCTCATGCCTATAATCTCAGCACTTTGGGAGGCTAAGGCGGGTGGATCACCTGAGGTCAGGAGATCGAGACCAGCCTGGCCAACATAGCGAAACCCTGTCTGTACTAAAAATACAAAAATTAGCCAGGCGTGGTGGGGCACCCGTAATCCCAGTTATGTGGGAGGCTGAGACATGAGAATCACCTGAACCTGGAATCCAGGAGGTGGAGGTTGTAGTGAGCCAAGACCACACCACTGCATTCCAGCCTGGGCAACAGAGCAAGACTCCGTTTAAAACAACAACAACAACAAAAACACAACAAAGCATCATGGGAGAACCCAGGGCAGTCTGAAATCTTCCACTGAGCTATAACCCTGAAAAGTTGTACATTCCCATGTGTGAGACAAGTCTGTTTGAACTTGAATCCACAAGAAACCCACCTATGAATGGCATCCCCCACTTCTCTTATCCTCAGATCTGAACCCCTTTACATTCTAGCGAACACCTTTACTCTTCACGATTCCAAGCTGAGGATGGTGGGAATAATTAACTTCATCAACTGTCTGAATAGTTCCTCTTGGCTAGGTGCTAGAGACACAGAAGTGAATATCATGACCGCATCAACACCACCGCTACCACCACACTATTGTCCCTGATATTGTCCCTGATATTTCCAGTACTAAGATGTCTCAAAACAGAATTCAGAAAGCCCAACTGCTATAGTGTCCCTGACCAGACTGGCAGTTCCCTTAGGGGCCAGAGTCAGAAGCAAGAGGGTCTATAACCAGCTTATTCTCCTCTCCCTCACCCCATTTTACAGGAAGGTCCAGGAAGGAGAGGTGGCTTGCTCAAAGTCAGACAGTTGAGAGTGAGCTGAAACTCCAACTCATGTGCTCTGGGTCTCCTCTCTCCACCACATTGCTTTGGTCAAGGTTCCAAAATTGGAAAGTAAGGAAAAACAGTTGGTTCTAGTGACAGAGTGTTTCCTGACATATATATGCCCAGAGCCTGCAGCCTCAACCATCTTATCAACACAGACCTGGTGACCATGTCCATCTCTCAGGATGCTCATGAATGTATGTTGTTGATCTAGAGCCCAAATGTCCAGTTTTCATTCAGGCTCCTTTACCACCCTCTCTGGCTCTCTCCTGATATTTACTTTCACTTTAAAATCTTATAAGAACAGGGCTCTTTTTATCTGATGCCGGCTCCCCCCGTTCCTTAGATTTAATCAATTCATGTCTGGAAATAAACAAACCAGAGAGGAAAGCAACAGTCCCTTTTGTGAAAGCAGACACCTTTCTAAAATGATCTACCCCTGGGCATGACGCAGAAAGAATTTAAATGAGAAGGAAATAAAGACGTTCTCCAGCAATCATCTATGCGTTCCTCTTGGAGTGGGACAGCAGGAATGGTAACTGCATGAACAACTAAACCAAAACCCACTCCACATCTTTCAGATTTTAGTGGGAGTGGGGTCAATGGCAGGAAGCCTGAAGAGACAATACGTTTCAAAACAACAGAAACCACCCCTCTTCATTCTGAGGAGCTTAAGGTCTTCAAGATTAGTAAGAGAGGGCTAGTGGAACACCAACTCCAAGTATATGCAGAATGCCTCCAGCTAGTACCAGGGGTGCAAGAAGACGCCAGCTAGAAAGATCCAGACATCTGGCCACCAACTTAGACCTCCTCCTATCATGTTATTTTATACCCACCTGCAAAGCACAGAATCCTCACCCCTCTTACCGCCCTCCAGCCACTCCAGAAAGCATCACCCCGGCCTCTGCTAGAAAAAGAAGGTGTCTTACACAGAGAGGGAGAATCAAGCTCCCAACTAGCCAGCCTGCCCTACCAGCCATGACTCTCAGCTCCAGGCATCGGAAATGGGCCACCATGTAAATGCAAATACAGAGAGCATCTCTTCTGAGGAGGACAGTAGTTAATTCTTAATCCTTTGGGAGATCCGTTTGAAAATCTGATGGCAGCTCTGGACGCCCCAGAAAAAACTGCATGCATGCAGTTTATACGTAATTTCACTGGGGGTCACTGCTCTCCTAGGAGGTCGAGGGGGGCAAAAAGAGCTGCTGTGCTCAGAAGCAGCTTTGAGAAAAAGCTATGGGTGGTCCAGGTGAGTATTCAACAGCATAGCTCCTTAACAAGAAAGGGAGAAATGAACGCCCCTTACTTAGCTACTCCAAGTTCCAGCTTTCAATCAACCTGAGATTTCAACAGAAATTTTGAACTGAGAGCACACAAACATGCACGCACACATACACACCAAGCACTCGGCTTCCTTGTGGCTTCCTTGTAACTTCACAAAATGTCCTATGATTGCTAGTTAAGCGTCCAAACAGTAACGGCAGAGATAAGAAGTGGAAGAGAGGCGGGCGCTGGAAGGGAGGGTAGTTCAGACAAGGAGAAGGGGGCAGTCTGGCCGTCTGGCTAAGCTCTCCATTGACAGGGCAGGTCCTGATCCTTGCTGCCTGCTCTCCCTGGAAATCAGGCTGACCTGCAGCAAACCAAGAAGTCCAGACAGAAGCAGCCCTTTCTTTCCTTTGAGTCCATGGGGAGGGGAGAGCACCATCTCATTTCTAGGGAAGAGACCCTGGCCCACAGCTTGCCCACGGCCCCCTCGTGGCCTGGGGGTGTCACTGCAGCCCCCTCTGCATTGCTGGGCACCAACCGCTCGCAGGCAGTTCTAACAGTGGTCCAGCAGAATATTTAGTCAACAGTGGCAAACTAGCAACTGTCTTCAAGCCTTGTGAGGCTGTGTTTGCTTTTGATTTCTTAAGCTAAGATTCAGACTTAAAGTGATCCTTCTAAATCCCTCCTGGTACAATCCCCACAGGAAACCAGCCCAAGTCTGGCTTCATTAAGCCAATAACCTCGGCGCTTCTGTAACATGACCACTGCTTTATCATCTCTTCCTGCATCACATGCAATTACGTACAATTGTGTACAACTGTTCCAAAGCTCAATAAGCTCAAAGAAACAGTTAGAATGCACAACATCCTCTGGTTTGTAGGTTGCTTACTAGATTACAAAATATTTGCAGGACACCAAATACCCTCCTAAATCCTGGGTTTGCAGGTAAGCAGGTCCTGCAGGGGTTTTGGACTTTAGGTTACACAGTGAAAAAAAAACGTGACCAGTGGCTCTGTGTCCACAAATGCAAAAAGAGGGTGCATTAAGGAACCTGAACTCCACAAAGGGAAGGAGTGGAGCTCATGGGGCTGGGGGTTGGACAGGACAGACCAGAGTCTGGGAGTGAGGGGGCAGCTGGTCTCGGGGTTCAGCGGCCATCTGCCGGGGTGGGGACGATTAACTGACCCCAGGGGAGGGAAACTGTGTAGGGAGGAGAGGAGGTGGGACGTTTGGGAGGAGAGAGGAAGGTGCAGAGTGTGTCTGCAGAGCCTGAAGTAGACCCGTGACCAGGAACGACTGAGGCAAGTGAAAGGGGTGAGAGCGCCAGAGGATCTTCTCTTTGGTGGGGACAACGGGTGGGAGGAATTGGGGGACTGAGTCCATTACCTCCTTGATTTTCTCCCGCTGGGCTCGTACTCGGCTCTGGGGCTCCTGACTCTCATCGGCCCTTGTTCCCAGGACCGGGTGGCGGAGGCGGCTCCGGAATGCGTTGAAGTCAAAGCGAAATGGGACGCCCTCGTCCCCGGGCCTGGAGGCCAGGATGCCATTGCCCCGGGCCGCTGTAGCCTCCTCGCGGGGTCCCGTGGGACGGGTGCGCCGCAGCCCCCCTTTCCTGCGGCGGTGACTGGCCCGGCTGCTGGGGTCATCCTCACCTGGGGCCGGCACGGCAGGGGCCGGGTTGGGAGGCGGCTCCTGCTCGCGGGCCGGGATGTGGCCGGCGATTTCGGCCACCACCTCCAAGCCAGGCTGCTGGGTCCGGGGGGCCAGGAAGAGGCGCTTGAGGCGAGAGGAGTGGGGCAGCAGGAAGAGGGCACCGAAGCACAGGGTGACAAGGCCCGAGAGGAAGAGGAGGAAGAGGAACTTCTGCGGCAGCCGCAGCCCCCACGGGGAGGCCGGGACGAAGCCGGGCACTTTCCTCATGAGCATCGTGGCCGGACCCTGGACCCCCGCGGCCCGCGGAGTCCAGGCACGTGTCTGCGGGGGCGCGGCGAAGGGAGGGCGTCGGAGCGCCGCCCGGGATGGGGGTCCCTGGGCAGGGCTGCCAACCCTGAGAGTTTCGCCGCTTTGGGGGGCTGTCTCTGAAGTTCAGGGAGTTTGGAGCGAGTCCTCCCGCGAGAAGGCGGAGGAGCAGCGGCCTCGGCGGGGCCCGGGCGAGCGGGGCTGCACGGCTCGGGGCCCGGGCCCGCAGAGATCGGCCGCGCGCCGCAGCCTCCCCTCGGGCCGAACCCTCCCCGCCGCGCCGGGGCCCGTGCCTTCGCGCGCTGCGGCCGCCGGGGCCGTCACATGCCGTCCGCGGCGTCCCGGCTGTCCGCGCCGAGGGGCGCCCGCAGGCCCGGCCGAGCCGCCCTCAGCCCCCCAGCCTCCTGCCCGCGCTGGTCGGCGCCCAAAGTTTCAGCCTTAGAAGCAGTTTCCGGAGGGGACCGAGGCGACGGAGGGCTGGCGTGTCAGCGTCGCCCCGAGCGCGCGCACACCCGCCTCGGTCGCGACAGCACCCGGGCTCTCTATCAGGACACGTCCACAACTTTGCTCCACCGCGGAGCGGGCGCCAGGAGCCGGGAGCGGCCGCCAGGAGCCAGGAGCGGCTAGGGAGCGGGAGCAGGCACTTCCGAGCCTGCGGGTGCAAGGGGCTGCCCAGGACCCCGAGAGTGCAGGGATGCCCGGGTCCGGAGCCGCGGCTGGGCGGCTGCAGCTGCGCCCGGGAGCGCGGGCTCCCGCCCCTCCAACTCAGCAGGGCGCCGGGCTCCCGCTAGGATCACCTGTTCCCGGCCCCGCCGGCTCCGCGGAGCGCGCAGCCCCGGCCGCGCCTCCCCCGCGGCAGCTGTCGTCCTCCCAGCGGCAGCTGCAGACGGGCCGCCGCCGCCGCCGCCAAGCCTGCGCTCCACACGCGCACACAGCCGCCCGGCCGCCTCTGCCGCCGCCGTAGTCCCCGCCGCCGCGGCCGCCGCTCCGGCTTTCACTGCGACAGCGCCCGCCGCCCCGCCTCCTGCCGCCCGCCGGCCACGCCCGCCGGCCACGCCCACGCGCGCGCCCCGCGCCCCCTCCCGCCGCCGCCGCGCCGCAGCCGGGCTGAGGGCCGCGCGTCCGTGGGCGGGGCGGAGGCCGAGCGCAGGCGGGAGCGCAGCCCGCGCTCCAAGCCCCGCCCTCCCCGAAGGGCCCGCGTCGCGCGCAGTCCCCATCCGGCCGGCGCCAATGGTCCTACGGCGCGGGGCTGGCGAGGGCGGGGGTGGGAAGCGCAGCGAGGGCATTGGCTGCATCTGAGGGATACCCGCTGGGCCGTAGTCGCCCATTGGTTACTGCCCAGCCCTCGCTGGACCCCAAACGACCGAGACCACCCCACTTCCCGCCCGCGCGGCTCGGGTTAGTGGCCCCCGGAAGAAGGCCGGAGACGGGGCTGCTCTGGAGGCTTGTGCAGGTCGTTGGCTGACCTCTCTCGCCCCCCAGTGCCAGCCCGGGGTTGTCAGGGAGCTGACAGCCCGCGCCTTGGGGGTGGCCCCGGGCTTCTCAGCGCTAACGCGGAGCCGCGGCGGTGTTGCTTGTGGGGAGCCACGCCAGAGAGCTGTGGCGGCGGCCGGGTCGGCGGAGGCGGTGTTTCCACTGGCCCCCGCAGACCACCGCTTGCCTACCCTTTCGTACAACCTTAAGCGGGGCCAGGGCCCCTGAGTGAAGCATGGAGGGAGGCTGACCGTAGCCTTGAGAAGCCATGAAAGGAAGAGAGCCCCAGGCGTGTCTACAGCAGACCACACACATCCTGTGACCGAGGTGTGCCTTGATGCCTGCGTGTGTTTATGTGCACATGTGTGCGTCTGGGCATAGACACCTGTGCACACAGAGACTGGCATGTGGGTGTGTACAATGCGCTCAAACATATGCTTAATTTGGGTGTGGACACCCACGTGATTATAGCACAGTATGCATACACATATATGCAAATGAGTACAAACATGGACATGTGCACCCGCATACCCACAGACACTCAGGCAACAGATACCTCCAAAAACATGCCAGGCTGAACTCCCAGACACGCGTGTCCTCAACCCCAAGGCCCTCGCACCTGCCTCCGTGGACTTAGTCTCTGCATCTTCCCTTCCTGTTAAACCTAACCCAGGGCAAAGCAACATTGTGCTGTGTGGGTCTTTCATGCAAAACACTTTATAGAGACAAATAACAGCAGAGGGAGAAACAAATTAAGAGGTTTGTAATAGGCAAGAGGGAAAATATCTACTTTCAGCTGCAATTTAGAATGAAATGCAGCGTTGACGAGACAGAAAATACTGCAGGGAAGCCTTTCCCGACAGAAGAAGCGGGCCAGGCAGGCTTTCATCTCATAAATCTTGCTTCTTCCCTGAGGCCTGCTGCGGATGCGCGGCTGGGACTCAGTCATCCGTCTACCTCTGGCCAGACCACTGACAGCAGACCCACCCTCGATGTTTAAATATCCCTGGCATGCAACTTTCTCTCAACTGAAATTAAAGTGGAGTAACAGGTGCAAACATTTTGGTCCCTGGAGATGACTAATCCTCCCCAACCCTACAAATACACGCAGCTTAAATAGAAAATTCTAATTCAGATATTTCAGTGTCTTGTGAGTTTGCTTGGCAGGTTGATGCGGGGCCAGCTGTGTACATCAGAGATAAGCCTGTGACCCATTTGGGTACAGGAGCCCAGAGACCTGGCCTGGCCTCACCCATGTCTCCAATACCCAAGCATCGCCTCACTGGGTCCCGCTGCAGGAAAGGGCAGCCTTGTCTTTGGATAACCAGGCAGGGACCCAGCATTCATTATAGTCATCATCTGCATCGTTCCTCATTGTGAGTGTAGGGGAATCACTGTTCACTCCCCTGTGAACGTAGGATCCAGAAAGGGAGAACAGAGCTGAGTCTCGGAAGGAATTGTCTGTTTGAACTAGATCCTCACTGTGATGTGACACTCTGACCAAACTCGGGTGTGCTCTGTGAGCCAGGGTAGAAAGAGAGGCTGCAGCAGGACTGACATGACTTTCAAAGTCAGGCTACGAAAACCAGAGGCCACAGCACGTAACTCCATTTCAAAGTGATGGGATGTTGGTGATCACACCATGTTGTTGATACCATCACTTGCTAGGGAGATACCAGTCTCTCTAAAAAGCTATCTGAAAACCCTAGGTGTCCCCTTGCCCTCCCTCTAGCCCCCAGAGACCTCAGACATCCTGTGGCTCTTCTTCCACTGACTTTTTACTGTTGGTGTGCTGTCCCAAAGCAGATGCTGAGTTCTTCACCATGGCTTGCTCACTTCTCTAACTGCCCCAGGTCTTAACCACAATGCCTTCCAGATGGGCACTGTGTTTGCTCAGTAAATGATTGAATAAATGAGTGAGTGGATGTCCATTTCGCAGATGTGGAAACCGAGGCTTGGGGAATGGGACAACAGTGAACTAACATTTTTTATGTACCAAATACATATTGTCTCATTTGCTTTCCATTTATTTTTATGGTAGGTAATTATTAATAGCCCAGTTTTACAGATAAGAATACCGAGGCTTAGAGAGACTGGGGATGAGTTTTAAGTGTCTGTATTAGTCAGAGTTCTCCAGAACAACAGAACCAATAGGCTATACATAGATATATAAAAAGAGATTTATTAGGAGGGATTGACTCCTTTGATTACGGAAGGCTGAGAAGTTCCACAGTCTGGTGTCTGCAATCTGGAGGTCTAAAAAGCTGGTGGTGTAGTTCCAGTCCAAGCCAGGAGGCCTGAGAACCATGACAGCCGATGGTGTAAATCCTAGTCTGAGCCTGAAGACCGCAGAACCAGGAGAGCTAATGTCCAAGGGCAGGAGAAGACGGATGGTCCAGCTCAAGCACAGAGCATGGATTTGCCGTTCCTCTTCCTTTTTGCTGTGTTTGGGCCATCAGTGGATTGGATGCTGTCCACCCACATTGGTACAGGCAGATCTTCTTTACTCGATTTACTAATTCAATTACTAATCTCTTCCAGAAATTCCCTTACAGACACCCAGAAATAACGTTTTACCAGCTGTGTAAGCATCCCTTAGCTCAGTCAAATTGACACACAAAATTAACCTTCACAGCATCTTTCTCAGTTTAATTCAGAAATTCAAGTGGAACTGGGAACAGAAACAAACAGGTATTTCTAAAAAAATCTATTTATCTGTCAACAAATATTTATTCCAATTAGATGCAAGGTATTGCACTAGTTTTGGACACAAAGGTGAGCAAAGCATGGTCCCTTGTTATTATTGATTCATTCTTCCAGTAAAAAACTACTTATTGAACACCTACTATGTACCAGGTACAGAGAGGCAGAGGATACAGCCATGACACAGATGCAAAGCCTACCTTCATGAAAATTCTTATCTAAAAGGCAACAAACACAGACCAACCTGGCCCATCAGGAAGGGAACCACCAGGCACCAGGCACTGCACTAGTGCTTCACTCACATCCTCTCTGACCCTCGCAACAGCCCTCTCTGAGGTCGGTCTCAAGATCCCAGTTTAGCAGATGGGGAAACTGAGACTCAGGATGTGACATGACTTGTCCAAAGCCACACAGGGCAAATATGAGAAGAAATCAGGCCCATCTAATCACAGAATCTATGTGCTTTCTGTTAGTGATATTAGCAACTACTAAGATTGCTGGAGCACTAATGATGTGATCGGCCCTTTTTAAAACATGTTAAAGACTAACTTGGCCAGGCGCAGTGGCTCCCGCCTGTAATAATCTCAGCACTTTGGGAGGCCAAGGTGGGCAGATCACCTGAGGTCAGGAATTCAAGACCAGCCCGGCCAACATGGTGAAACCCTGTCTCTACTAAAAATACAGAAATTAGCTGGGTGTGGTGGCATGTGCCTGTAATCCCAGCTACTGGGGAGGCTGAGGTACAAGAATCGCTTGAACCCGGGAGGCGGAGGCTGCAGTGAGCCAAGGTCATGGCACTGCACTCTAGCCTTGACAGTAGAGTAAGGCTCTGTCAAAAGAAAAAAAATAAATAAAGACTAAACTAACTTATTTGATCCTTGCAACACCTCATGTGATGGGTACCATTAAGTACAGAGATGTTAAGGAACTTACTCAATGTCACACAGCTGGAAAGTGACAGAAGAGAGATTTGAGCCCAGACAATCAGGATCCAGAGCCCTCTATGCCTGTCAGAGTCTGCTGTCCCCCTCTTGTAATGCTGTGAGAGCAGGTTCTATAGGTGGTGAGATCAGGGAAAGAGCACTGGCCTCAGGCAAGATCAACACAGACTTGTTGGGAGGATTATATAAGTTCATTAGTCATTCAACAAGCAGTTACAAGGCACCTGATACATATACCCAACCCAAGGCAATACACTAAGTTTTAGGGATACAGTGATGAGGAAAAACAGACACATTTCTCCCACCATGGAGCCTACGGTCTCATGGGAAAGATGAGTTTAAACAAATAACCTCCAAAGGAGTATTCAAGCTGAGATGAGAGAGAAAAAGGAGAGAGAAACGTTGCTCTAAGAGCAGGTCACAGTGGATCTGGACCCAGGCTTCATTGGGTGGGCCAGGGAAGGCTTCCCCTAAGGATGAGTGCAGTTACCTAGGCAGTAGGAGGGTGAGAATGCCCAGGCTGAGGGGGCAGCACAGGCAAAGCCCCTGGGTTGGAGGAACATGGTACTTTTGAGAATAGAAGTCAGTGGGTCTGGAGTAGAGAAAGTGATGGAGAAAGACAAGTGACATCGAATGAATTAGGGCAGGAACGGGAATGTGAAGGGGGAGGTGAGTGGGCAGATTCAGATGCACATTTTTTAAGGTTACTCTAGCTACAGTGTGCAAAACAGAATGGAAGGCAGGTGTGAATGAAAGGGGTACCTTTCAGAGGAT